CAAAATTGTCATGGGGTTATATTATTATTACATATGTTCACATACGTAATAGAACATTTGTAGCCACGTGATTAACAATATCTGTATATGCGCACAAAATCCAGTTAACCCAGTATATTTGTATGAAAATATTTTGTGTATTTATTGACATTATATGTAAATTATATGTAATAATTACACGATTTGTCAATATATGTACATAATACGATTGTGGTACAAATTGTTTGTACAAAATGAAATAAATTATTGAACTTATTTGTATATAATAAAAATTAGTTCATTACTTATTTATATACAATTTTGCTTCCAATATATTATACATAAAAAAATTGTCATGGTACTATACTGGAACACAATATTTATATTCCACTCATTCCACTATATCAGACTGCGTCTTTTATCTTTTTCGAATACAAAGTATAATTGTGTGTTTTTCAACAAAAATAGTGTTGCTTCAATAAATTATTGTTCAAAAAGAAATCACCAATAAAAGCAGGATTAAATAAAGAAAATTGAAATATTGTTGTTACTTGTGATTATTTGTCTAGCATACTTGCTAAACACAGAGTTTAAGTTTCAACTTTGTATACGGACTCTGTATTATTTTATGATAGCAACAGTTTGACATCACCGCATTCCGAAGCCTTTCAAAACAAACACATCGTATGAAACCAACTCGAACAGATATTAAACAAAGCCATTTATTACTGGAGATCTAATTGGTGTAAGGAATTTGCGACAACAACATTTCTATTAATTAAAAAAATATATTGCAATATTATAATAAGTTGGTTGCATAAATCTATTGTATTCGTTATTACATCAAAAAGATATATTAAAGTTTTCGTTGTTTTTGAAATGTTTTTTTTTAGATCAAAGTATTATCTGATTCCTATACTACATGTTATATTCAGGGGTATTGTGTAATATATAGATAACTTAATGAAATATGAGATTGATGAAACCCTCAATTTTTATAGCCAAATTTGCAATCTTAATTTGGGATGCAAAATGTAATGCAATTTCCATCTCAACTTCGGAAAAACTACCTAGGACACCATTTTCAAGTCCTTATTGTGTTTATATGAGTACTTGAACATCTGGGATGTTGTTTATACCTTTAGTTTTGCCATTGTATCAATTAGGATTTTCACTACGATAATACGCATGGCTCATCTGCTCAGTACATGCAACACTTAAATTTGAGTAAAATTGTTGAAAAAGTTGACACAGCAGAAAGAAAGAAGAAACCTATAGATCAAATCAGTAACGCAATTTCGACCAGCGACACAGAACACATGAACTTCCCCTACCTAAACGCAGTGATAAATCCGATCAAGAACGCCATAAGGAAATACTCAACAAAACACAACATCCGCGATCTTACATTATTAAAACTGAAAAAGCACTGTAAGACAAAACAGGAAAGCACTGATTTATCAAGCAAAGAAGACAGAATCTCACTTAAACCTCAATTATATCCAGATAAATGTACACCAGAGTCTACTATTAAGTCTAAACCAACCACACCTGATCCAACAAAGAACAATTCAAACAATCCTTGTGTACCTGGTGTCGTGCAGACCCGATATGGAAGAATCGTTAGAATGCCAGAACGTTTAGGTTTGTAATCTTTCACAGAAATGGACGTACAAATAATTTAGTTAGTTCAGTTCTGAGAAACTGTTACCTTATTCTTATATTTACTGTTCAATTTTACTGATGTTGTATTCAGAGAAAACCGTGGACTCATAAACAATAGTAAGATACTCACTAATACAGAGACACTAGTCTTAAAACTCCCTCCAATACATTAAGAGAGGTGTAGGATCAAGCATTAGATATACATAATACGAGTAATATATG